CAGAATGTACTAAAAGTTTCAAAGTATTAAAGTAAACATAAACATAAAGTTAAAGAGTATATTTATTTTACAGTTTAAAGGTTTTTAATGGAATAAAATATTTAAAATATGGTTGTTAATTTTTCCTAGTGTAATTATGTATTTATTTAACATATACATATATATTTAAGCACATGCATCTGAGGTCCAGTTGGGGACAGACCTTGGTTGCAGTTCGAAAGCCAACCGGCAAAAGATAAACAGAGACAGTTTTATTTTTTTCACCCGATAAATGAGGGACAGGCAGTTCTGAAGGTGAAGGGTGGGGATTGGGGATAGCGGGCAGTGGGTGATGGGTGGGGCTGGAAAACCTTGTTGCCTTGTCTGCCAAACTCATTAAAACGAATCTTTTTTAATGGCCAAAAGTTTGCCCGGTTGCTGCCATAATCAGTAAAATTAAGGCCATGGCAGCTGAAAACTGTTTGCTGCCTGCCAATGTCGTTAGTGTTTGTCCGCCAAAAAAAAGAGTCAGCTAAATATGTATAAACATTATTATATTATAAAAAGCAGCTATGAAAAGCTTTAAACTATATACTATTGATTTTATTTTAGAGCTAATGATTGGAGTAAATAAGAACAGATGGAAAATTTAAGACGATTTGTTGGGTTAACAAGAAATATTACAAGAATTCAATAAAAGAAATGTGTACCAATTAAAAATACTTTTAACTTTTAACTGATTACATTTAAATATAGCATTTAAAATGATTTTAAGGGAAGGTAATGGTAATAGCTTCTCAAGATAATCATCTCTAAATGTGATGTGATTATTAATGAGCTAAGTATTTTGTTCCATCTTTCATAATATCCTTCTCTTCCCCAAACAAAAAGCCCGTATTGCCAATTCAATATTCTCCGGCTGTGGCTTAAAGGCGACAACTTATGTGTCAACTTGGCCAACAACTACAACCAACAACCAACAACAGCAACTAACAACTTACTTAAGCCAACAAACTGGCTTCGAAGGAAGGCACTCGCAGAAAGAGGCGATAGATGACGCAGGCATTGCCATGGCCATGTCACACTCGGGCACTCGAAAAGGCCGAAAAGGCAGCCTTAGCCTCAGTCTCTCTCTCCCCCCTTCATAAACGTGCTTTTGGGGTTTTTGTAACCCCTTTTCCCCCTCCTCCCAAAACACCCTTTCCACTTCCCCCGGAATCACTGCACGTGGCCATCGGGCTGCACTCTTGTGCACTAATTACGAAAACTCAGCACGTTTTGCCATCGCATGGCTCAGAGCAGAGCTTGGCCCGGCTGTCTGCCTGGCTAGCAGTTCCCGCTCCCTTTTGGATGTGGATGTTGCCTGTTTGGTCGCCTTGTTGCCCGAGTGGTTAAATGCCTGGACTGTGCTGTGCTGCAGTAATAGCAGCAACATGCAACGCGACAGTTGCCTACACCCAAGGGGGAACTTCAGCTGGGACACGGAGAATAAAGCATAGGAGTAGGCTTTGGGTATGGATTTTAATCAGTCTTCTTTGATGATATTTAAGGAGCTCTTAAAGAAAAGGTACTAATTCTAGATTGGCATAAAGCCAACTATGACTCTAATAGTTTCCAAAAGATTTGATGAGATATTTCTTTAATCATTTCAAGCTTTAAAACAACTTTAGTAATCCTGAAATCGTGGGAAATACTTTTCAACATGTTTACAATTTTTTCTATATTTTTCTTTAGCTGAATAAATTTTCTTTCAGTGCCCAAAGCATCAGGAAAAGCGGTAGCGTTGGTGAATGGTTCCTGCAAAAGTTAAAAACATTGCGGCAAGCAATAAAATCAACATTGGTTTCGGTTTTGGCTTTGACTCTCTTTCTGCCCTGCACTTACCGCCTTTTGGCCCCCACTGTGGACCGCTGTGTAACTGTATTACTGATGAGCTTCAAAATGTGCTTGGCGTGCCACAATTTTACCAAAGTCAATGTCTGAGGTTGCCATTGCACTCGGTGGGCGGAAAATGCCGCCCATTAAAAGTAGCGGGTTAATGACTAAAAACCAAAAATCCTTTTTTCGCTCTTTTAGCCAAATAATGAGCCGTGCTGGCTTTGATTTGCAAGAGAAATGGTTCAGATATTGTTGAACTTTATGGAATCGAATAAAAACAATATTTTCAGAACAGAAACAAAATGAGACAAGCTTAAGATATTTGTAAATATCTTTACATATCTTAAAATAATATCGATTACTACTAATTTCTTTTGAATTACGAGTTATCACAATTAAATAAATAAAGTAAGCGATTTCCTAAGCATTTCCTAGTAAAGAGGGCTTAATAAATAATAAAATAAATGATTGATTCATAAAACATTAAATATTTGCTGTATGGATATATTTTATGGTACATTTTATAATCCAATTCTTTATATTTCAATTTTATTAGCAAATTAAACTGTGTGCTTTATATTACAATCCTTCAAAAAGCTTTATTTAACCTTTAGAAACTCAAAGGCACTCTCAACTTCAATCTATAGTTTAAGTATACATATTGCGTTTCCCCTAAATTAGAGAAATCTCCAAGCACCCTTATATAGTGGCACCTTAAATGCCAAATACGAGGTTTGGTCAACTACATATTTGCAATCTTTACGTCGGCAAGGCAACATGGCTATAAAAATAAATTACACCAAGCTTAAAACTTATGTGAGGTGGAAAGAAAAATGGCTTATAGACGCGCAGTGCAACCAAAAAAGGAGAATCAAACCGAAATCTCGTACAGTAGAGCAAAATGACCAATCGACCTCAGAGAGGAGGAAATCCCAGGAAGGGAGAGTGATGAACGTTATTGCTGCCTTTTCTATGCCGCTCAATCGAAGTGATTCACCCCCGCACATACACATCAATACACAATCACCCACAACAAGAAAAAAAAAGTGGGGTAAAAGGTAAAGCTTCAAGCCGACAATGAAGACATTAACATGACCAACGACAACAGCCAACGACAAAACTCTCCCCCTTGCCCCCATAGCTCATCACATTAATCTTCTTAATACGCCCATCAATAATTCAAAGCCAAAGGCATGACCAACTTGGCCGAGCGACAAAACCAAAAGAAAAAAAGACTAAGGTGCTAGCCACAGTCCGAGCATTGGTATACGAACCTGGCCAAGTGAAGAAGTCGCCTCCGACACGCAACCATATAACCATATAACCATATATCGAAACCGACCCAAGTGCCGAGTGAATTATGACGCTCAAGTACACGCTCCAAGTTCGATTCCTTTCCGTCTGAAGTGGCCACCTTCGAAAACAGTTTTGTTGTCGTCCATCAAATGCAAACTATAGCGTACAAATATTGAACTCTCTTGGCCCTTCCCCCGACAATGAAACTTTATGGTTGCGTGGCCAGTGATTTATGCTTCAAATTGTGCACAGCAGAAAAAATATAAAAATAAGAAAAATATATATAAAATAATCGGGAAAACCCTGATTCTATATTTAATTGTTTTGGGACATATGTAGATTAGAGTGCTGATTATCGGGGATTAGCTAATTTAAGCTTTGAACTGTTTTTATAATCGAGTCATAAAAAATGGTATGTATGTATAGGAAATGTTATAAATAATCTATATGCATGAATGTTTATGTTAGGTTTTAGTTTATATTTAATGGATTAAGGTATAAGCTGAATATATTTAAGTTTATTATAATATGAATAATATAATAATAGAAACTAATAAACAAATGTATACTGCAATAATTGGTTGTGTGTAGAGGTAACGAAATAGTTCATTATTATTTGTACAATTTATATAATTATTGTTTTATTTAGATGCTAAATATTAAACCTTAAACAATATAAAATAAGATTGAGTGCTAAATATTAAACCTTACAAGCAATATAAAATAAGATTGAGTAATATTAAATCTACCTTACATAAAATACCTACCTTAGATAGAATCTAGCCAAAGTAACTCTCTGTGCCCTCAATCAATTCAGTTACACTTCACCAATTTCATATGGTTTCATTATTAGATAATTTTGTAAATATTAAAGTTCGTAAATCATAAAAAAAATTAAGCTAAAGACGGATTGTATTCACCTAACCATATTCTTACTATCTTAAACATTTCCTTATTACTTTTAAGCAGCTGGTGTCAAGTTCATATAAATTAATGTTGATAAATATTAAAGCTAATAAATAGAACACCAATATAGTTAAGTCTTGCATACTAATTACTAAAGAAAATTTATTAAACCTCGCCTTAACTAATAGTTAAGTGTCATATCCCCATACAGTAAAAAGAAAAAACCACTTGAAACTTGATTTCTTTCACTGCACTTTGCACCCACATTTCTGGCATCTTGCAACTATCGAAAATTGCGAACGTAATTGTATATGAATGACATATGCTGGACGCACAAAAGCGCTCGAACGCTGTCGTGTTCCCATTGTGCTCCTGCGACTGACAGGAGCCCCCACCAATCCTCGGGCCCATTGTTGTTGGCCCTGGACAATGCCAAAAGTGCCTCCTCCCTGCTCTCCATGTCCTGCTCCATCTGCATCCACATACCATACCATTCGATGGCTCCACCTGCTGCTGTTGCCTGCTGCTCCTCCTGTCCCCGTGACAATTTGATGTCAGTTGGTTCGTTCGGAATTTTTCGTTACCATCGCAGCTTTTTCACGCCTACTTCGGCACCCATTGGACCCCACGCAAATGCCTTTTGTTGTCCCATCATCTCTCCTTGCCCCTTAAATTGCACCCCAGCATCCTTTTGTGCGAAGGAGATGGGCATCCATCCATCGGTCCATATGTGTCAAGCCTTCCCAGGCACCTTTCATCTCTTTGGTGGCGCTGGGCTTTTGATGGTGATGCTGTTCCTTATCAGCGCGTTGCTTAAGCGCCACTAATTGTGTCAAAGGTTACGTCATCCGATGGAGTGATAAAGACATTCGAATCGTATTTTCGGGTGGGTATAAAAGCCGGAGTCCGTTGCCGAAATATTTTAGTGTTCTCATCAGCAGAGTAAAGACAAGAAAGTGAGTTGAAAGTGATCAGTAGGAGTCCCTTAGGAAGTGTTAAGTGAAAAATATATTAATAGGAAATTAAAGTAAAATATTTGAGGTCTTTGCAAGAAAGAAATATATTTTCAACAGCAAGTTAAATCATTCGTTCCTTTTTAGAATATTATTTTGTGAATTAAGCTGATTTAAATTTGGATTTATTTTGTTTCATTTTTTGAAGCTAGTGAAAGAGTTTTACAATTGAATTATTGAGGGTTCTTCTCAGAATATTATTTTGTGAATTAAGCTAGTATATAGTTAGTAACATTTTCTAAAAAAATCAATATACATTTTCTCTAAATCTATTATCTATTTTTAAAATATTTAAATACATAAGAATATATAGGAATTTCAAAAGTAAACAAAAATAATACCTAATCTAAGCTTGATTAACACAAAGCTAATCTAATTCAACCCTTAACAGGGTAAGATCTTACTCATCATTATCATTTTCTTATATATATGCTTATAAAATATTCCACAGTAAATTATAACTAAAAAATACCTTTATTATCCTTATAGTCAATCATGAACTTCTCCTGGCTTGCCGTTCTCCTCTTGGCCATCTTTGCCATGACTGCATCCGCCGACAAGTGCTCAGCTCCCTTCAAGAAGGAGGGAAATCAGTGTGTTTCCAACCGTACCATTCGTGGAGAATGCCCACACAACTCCCAATATAGTGCCAAGATTAACAAGTGTGTTCACAAGTAAAAATATACCAAATAAAAACTATAACTAAAACTAAACAAAAAGAAGAAATAATTGAAAATGAATTGAAAACAAAACAGTTTTGTTTTTTGCTGATTATCAGCAGCCGGGAGCATTATCGCTGACAGCCGGCTGGAACTAGACCAAGGTCGAACTGATATAGTAGCTTAGCGCATCTGGTCTATATAAGATCCGTTTCAGTTGCATTTCATTAAATAGTTGCATTTTGTGTTTTTCCGAGGTGAGTTGAGGCCGCCAGTTGATAACATTGTATTTTTGCTAAGGCATTTCACTTTGAGTCCAGACAGGGGAAAGGATTAAAAAAATCTCCAAATATGTTGGTGAAATGCAGTTGGCTTTTGGTGTTGATCCTGTCATTGCTGGCGGGAGCCTTTGCCAGTAGCTGTCCCTCGGGCTTCAATCCCGAGAACAATCGATGTGTCCAGGAGCGACCCATCCATGGAACCTGCCCGCCCGGCTCCTCCTATGCCCTCAGCATCAACAAGTGCGTTCATTCGTAATGAATTTTCAATATAAATGTTTAAAGAAATGTTAAAAAAAATATAAATAAATAAATTGTGGTACTGAAAGTATGAATACAGTAAAAGGAAAATATGGTGGCAAATTAACTAATATATTAAAAATTAACAAGGTTACATGCAGTTCGTGAAACCAGGAAACAATTTCCTGGCAGAAGCAATTTATGTTGTAGAAATAACTAACATAACTAAATAACTAACTTCGTCACAATATATAAATAATGTTTTGAGAAAAACCTTCAGACTAGTTTATACTAGTATATTTTGGACAGAACAATTGATTTTAATGGGTTTCAAAAATTATTTACTACTATTTGCTGTGACATTTTTATAGCTATAAGATTTGCTTAGAATATGGGTGTATCTTTAAGGAAAACATATGGAAAACATAAGGAAATAAGCTTTAGCTTTACTCATTTTTAAACATATCCCATTTTTAAGTATACATATATAGCTTTATCACTTACTCTCCTATCAAATTGAAATCCCTGTTATTCTTTCACATACCAATTACCCCTTTTAGCCTTTCAACTTCAACTTTTTACCTCTAAGCGAAATCCGTTTTTCGCATCAACCTCAGTTTGGGCCAATTATATTTGGCTTTATATGTTGGCCATGGGAAGTTCAACAAGTGTGGAAACTAAACGAGGCAAGAGTGAGGACCGAAAACTGATGAGAGGCCGCTGATGGCTGATGGCAATGGCGGTGGTGAGGTGATGATGATGGTGAATGACGTCGTCGCCAGGCGGACAGGCACGTTGGCCATTAGTTTATTACCATGTAATTGACTCAACGCTTGTCAGACGTCAACTGTTGGCTCTTGGCTCCTGCGGCTTTAATGTGCTGCATTTAATGCCGAAAGCCGAAAGCCGACACCAACACCAAGCGACAGCCCATCAAAGTCGAAGTTGTCTGTCTGTTGGAGTATCTACTATATATATAGTATATGTATAAGGTATGTATATAACACGCTGCCTTTTCGCGATTAGCTTGATTGGCCTAACCCCGCACCTTTGACCCCTCCTGGCTTATCGGCTGAAGCGAAAACCCAACCGAGTTTCGTAAGCTTCGCCTTTTGGATTGAAATTGAATCGTCTCACAATCGCCCGGCCGCCGCCTGCTATAAAATTCATTAAAAACTTTGCACCGACTCTCTCGGCCCGAGAATTCCACCCAAAAAAAAAAGTAAAAGCGGTGGCGAAGACATAAAAACGTAGAAAACATTTAACAGTGGCAAAAACTTTGGCAAGTCCAAGCTGTCGACAGGATGTGCAGCAAACCCAATTGCATATGCCAATGTAACAAAGTTTTCAACAGCAAAATGTCCCACGCCCAAGCCCAGTGATGGCACTTTAGTGCAAAAGCACCCCCAAGGTTTACCATTTTCCGCCAAAAGGAAAGGAAAATTCACAGGAAATTATGAATTACGGCACCCTTTTACCAAAGTAGAGTTGGGAGACTTTTTAACAAAAAAATTTAATAGTTAAAATATTTTCTTAGATAAAAGAGTATAGTTTGTTTAAGAAGTACAAAGTAATCTTAAAATATGAAAGAAACTTATAAAGAATATATAATAATAATATAGCTATGTCTTTTTATAAAATATCATTAGATATATTAGCTAGAAATAATTCAAAAATTGTATTAAAACTATTATAAAAGCCCGGCAACACTGCACTCGCAATGGCGTCCATAAACTAAACGTCCTTGTCACTGGGGCTTGTAAATTTCTATGACTTGCATAAAAAAGGGCTCTCCCCAGAATGCCTTCCGCTGCTCTGGGTTTTCCTTTTCTGGTCTAAAAGTTTCCTGTAGCAAAAGTCGGCCAGCCGGACAGAGGACAGTGGCAGGAAATAAGGAAATGTTTTCCAGTCGTATTTGCTGCCTTAGCAGGCGACATTTATCAGTCAGTTGTTGCAATGCAATGTCCTCTTTTGGGCCGATGGCCTTCAGTTTGAGGTGCACAGGGTGGGGAAATGGTGCCTGGTCTGAGTTTTCTTCTTGGACAATTTTCAAAAGGAGTCTCAAGTGCCTGCCGCCTAGAGCCTTGCAGCTGACAGCAAATCGCTGCAGCTATATATAGTACATAGATATATATATATATACGATCTGGCTGAAAGTTGCCTCCGCTACAAGAAGAACCACGCGTAAATATGATGAACGTAAGCAGTAAAGTTCTGGCCAACTGATAGCCGAACGAACCTTCTTCTACTTGGCCATCTTATAAACACAAGCTGGCCCTAAAAAACTTTTGCAACCAAGCAAGGACTCTCCTCTGGTGACGGCTCAACTTTATGGGGGCCACATAGTTGCGGCTTGGCTGCATTTCAAAGAATGCTGCTGTGCAACTAGGTCCCATCCGAGGCACAGCAAGAAATATTATCATTAATTTCGAAATATAATATTAAGTATACCAAAATTTTAAAGCTTAAAGAGGTTTTGAATAAATTAAAGATCATATGGTATACAGATTAAATCTTTGATTTAGGGATATATAATTTTCTCCCAGTGCTTCTTATCGCAATGGGGCATTGTCCACCCTCTACTACCATCGTCCATCCATTGGTAAAAACGAAAGTGTGGCCATAATTTTTGGAGCTGCCCGGGTGGTGTTGCTGCTCCTGTTGTGGTTGGTCCTTGTTCCATCTTCTCCTCCTTGACTCCCCCCCAGTTGGCTAAAAGTTTCCCCGTTATTGATGCTAGCCAAAAATAAAAAAAAAGTGCTGACGAGGCTCACCAAGAAACGCCTGGCTACTTGCGAAATAGTTTAAATGCATCCTTACACCCCCTTTTATGACGGTATATACACACACCCACGTAATTGTTCGGCGCCTGGAGTGATAATGGTTGCGGCGGGGAGTTCTTCAATTATAGTTACACTATGCAAAATATTACAAAACATAACGAGGACAGTTATCAAATGTAATCGTGTGTTAAATTTGCCTAAATCGCTATTCAAATTCAATCAATATCGATTAATTAGCTTGTTTAGTAGTTGTTTTAAACCGTAATCAAATTTGTTTACTTATCAGGTTTATTAGGTAATCGCAATTTACAGGGCTTATGTTGTTTTGGGTTTTAAATAAATGTGGGATTTGGGGGAGTGCTTTTTTATGACATGTGTGCTTTTATATTTAATTTTTAGCTGTGTTTTTTATTGGGTATTTTAGGAAATTAGGAGGATAAAGAGATTATATACAATAACTGTAATGTAATACTGTGATGTTTTATATTTTATTTTATTTTTCATGTATTTGCAAATCATTTTTTTCTAAGGAAATTTAAAGCATTTAAAGTTTCTCTCTTAATTAGTTCTCTGAGTGTTGTCCTGTAATTACAAGTATTGGTTTTCAAATAACAATATCTAATTAAACAAATTGTTAATAAATATTTATTTAATCCCTATTTCTTTGCTAATTTATTTTATATAATCACTTTTACAATTTCTAGATTTCCCAAAACCCAAACCTAACATTTTGTAACAAAGTGCTTTTGCCGTTTTCCAGCCTCTTCCTCCTTGCACATCCGTTTTAACCAAGTATTCTGCCATGCCTTTCGGCCATGTTTGTCTGCTCGTCTTGTGCGTGCTTGCAACTTTTATCCAAAAACTAAAAACAAGATGGCGGTCTCCTGTGTGTGTGTGTGTGTGTGTCCCTGTGTGTGTTCCCCATAGGCATAAAAACTTTAATTTGAGTTATTTGCATGAGTAGTACTCACAGTTGAAATTATAATATAATTTTCCTAGCTGAGCAAAAACAAAAACTTTATCAGTGATAAAAAGGGGAGAGAAAGCGGGTTCCAATGGACTTTTGGCGGCTCCTGTGTTTCCGCTACATCTATCTCTCTATCTCTGTCTCTCTGTGCTTTTTGTCTCACTTGCTCATGCTCTATTTAGCTGTCTGGAAATGCTTTTAATGTGAAACTTCAAACTAAAATCGGGAGTTGAAACATATGCTCCATGAATGCAAAAACGATGTCACTATGCAATGTGGGCGCTAATACTAATATATATACATATGTGTATGTGTGTGTGTGTGGCTTTGTTGGCCAAAAGTTTTGTTAGCCAAACAAGAACAACAAGAATTATAAGCGGAACGGCGCAAAATTTTGCGAACTACGCGACGGAAATGTTCGTCTGATGAATATTGAAACGTTGCATTTTCCCGGCACCTGAAAGGAGTGGGTGGAAAATATTCCGTTGACAGTCAACAAACTTGTCCTATGGTGGCTTAATCGTTCGACGGAAATTATTGAGGAATTTTAAGTGAAAGGGGTTTCGAATTTTCAAAGTCTAGAACGATCCTTAGTCAGGCAAAGTAATATTTACTTTTAACTATTTATAGGGGAAATATAATAAAGTATATTTAAATATATAATGATTGTAAATATCTTTCCTATTAATACCTTTTCCTGTATATAATCCCCTCATAAAGAAACTGATTGTTAGAATCTCAAACCTAAGACTCAAAATCACCAACCAAAAGCATTCACTCTCCTTCAAGTCACACTCTTAAACAAGTTATTATCTGACTTAACATTAAGCCAATATTTTTATCACCTTATTATAACCACAAAAGCTGCAGCCAGACATTGTCCCGGCAATTACATAATACTACCAACTAGGATTTTATATGGCAACCTCTTATCAAGGTTATCGCAACATTCCCAGAGAGAGACAATGTCGCCGTCGCCTCTGGCCTTGGCCAAGTTGGACCCTAATCCGGCAAATCACCAGCAGCTGGTTCTTAATTGCTTTTCTGTTATTTTATTATTGCTGCAGTTTGCTGCTGCACTTCAAATTTCTTCATCTCTTTTCGTTCCATTTTTTTGTTCTTAGCTCGATTTTCCCCCCTTTTTTTCTTTGCACACTTTTTATGAAAACTTATTTTAGCTTAAGTTTTTATCTTTATCTCTGGGTCGGCGGATTAAAAAACAAATACGACGAGTAGCACTAAGGCGAAAAAGCAAAACTTTTTATTTGCTGTGACAAATTTTTAGCAGATAAAATAGCTTTGGGGAAAAACTTTGGAGCTCCGGGGTTGTGGCCAAAATAAATTTCGGCATGCAGGTCTCTCCAGTCTCCGGTCTTC